TTCTGATCTATTCCAGTCTGCTCTTGGTGAACACTGTTAAATAGCTGCTTTGTTCATTCAATTCAAAAGTAAATGGTTCTTTTCTGAAGTTTTTCCTATAGGAGATAGAAGTTTGGATTCGTACCCATCATGTTTAGAACTCTTTGAGATAAGAGGCTCTGCCTCTTTCACAGTGCATCCTCCTACACCTGGAGATGGAGTGACAGGTGGATGAAAGAAGAAGATACGAGAAAAGAGTGTGCTCTGCTCTGCTGATGTAATATACAGGGTGAAACTGAGCTGGCACTGAGAGAAAAAAATTAATGACTTTTTCTGGCAGTGAATTTCTACATCCACCCAAGGGCCAGGAAGTTTCATACCCATCTCTGACCTGTATCTCTGGTGGTTCCTCCTTCTGCTATGAGGCTGCTCCTAAATACACAATACTCCCCCGTGAGGTCACTTGTTTATCGGGGTGAGGAGAAATTAATGGTAAATTGCTGCTGCTGTACGTACTTTTCATCCTGGGCTTAGGACAGCAAAACTGAAATACAAAATGATCGGGCTCTAACATTCACATGGATGTGATTTGTTTCTGTGAGTTCATTCTTCTATTTAGAGAAAGATATTGCTACCCTCCCTTCTGCACTGACACAGTTGCCAAAATAACCGCTCTTACTAACTGGCAGCTTTAAAAGCCAGCCTGCAGCTGACTTTGAAACAGAAGGTCAGCAAAGGGAGCAACAGACTTCAATTCAGAGCTTTAATGGGAGCCATTGACCACAGCAAAAGGCCTTGACTGGAGTGTCTAGAGTGTGCTTTGCACAGGCCAAAAAGTCACTTTCATATTCTTTGAACCTTTTGTATAAACCTATATATTTTTCACTCTGTGGATTTCAAGATGAATGTGCAGCCGTGTGCTAGATGTGGCTATGGGGTTTACCCTGCTGAGAAGATTAACTGTATAGATCAGGTCAGTTCTCTTTCTTTATCATTTTGGACTATAATAAATGTACAGATTGGCACTTTTAACACTGTGCAAATCTCTCAGTTCCAAAAGTTCTTTGCTCGTAACTGGGTTCAGAACTGAAATGAACTAATCACATGTATATATTTGAAGAAAAAAATAGTCAAATTCATTAAATGGATGGTAAGAATCAATAGTGAGATTTTAAACTTAGCAGAATAATAATAATAATGAAATACAAATCATGTCTGTTTGGTTTCTGTTTTGTGACATTTCCAGACATGGCATAAAGCCTGTTTTCACTGTGAAGTATGCAAGATGATGTTAACAGTAAACAACTTTGTTAGCCATGAGAAAAAGCCTTACTGTCAAGCGTAAGTGTATTTCCTTTTTTTTTTTAAGCAGAGGTTTACTTTGCCTAGTCATTTTAACATAATGGAAGATCACTGTTTGGACTCAGTCTGTCCCATGTGTGATGTGAAATTAGTTATTGTCTAAGGCACCTATAATAAGTGCTTTTATGCATATCTTTGGATTTACGTGAATCACAAGTAATGGGAAACTCTTTTTACCATTTTTTACCAAATCTTCTTCATTTGGCCAGTGTGCTAAAATATACCAAATGAAGGTCCTTTTTAGTATTGTGGGAAGGAAATAAAGCCAAACACAAATTTTAGTGTTTTCCAAATCAGTGGTTAAGAGTTAACAAGGCTGAGCTAATCATAAGGAAAATGTATAAAATGCAGATTTTGGTGTTGGTTTGTTCTAGGAAGTTTTTATTTTATAATGATCAATTCCTGTCAAATTTTTCAGCAGAAAAAGGAGAGATGACAGTTGTTTTTTATTCTATTATTCTCTTTTGTTATTAGAAACACAGCATTGATATGATGATCATTAAAATTAATTTTGCTCTAGGCGCCTACTCCCTACAATAATAACTTGAGTGTAATCTAAAATCTCTGTGTGAGTGGGGGAAAAGTTGTGTATAGAGAGGTGGAGGTTGATATTGTGTTTTTGAGTGCTTGACGAGAACCTTTCTGGTGGGCTGCCTGGTACATCCCTAATATCCTTCTACACTTTCCATTTTCTAGGCACAATCCAAAAAACAATGCATTCACGAGTGTATTTGAAACACCTCTAAATATGAATGCAAAAAAACTGTCGGAAGTAGTAAGTGAGGTAAGGAGCTTGAGGGCTAAATGTGTTTGTTCCACATTTTGATAACATACTTATGGCTCTTGTTTTGTAAGTATAAATATGTGGTTTTTACTTACTTTCCTGTGTTCTTTTAGATCAGTAAGATCTCAGCTGCGTTTGAACCATAATTTTTTCAATATTATTAGTCATGTGAAAGAAATCTTAGATCTGGATTTGCTTTTGCTCTCAGAAGGAAAAACTGATTGGAGCTCCTCACCTGTATATCTGATAATCTATACAGAAGCACAGTTCGCCTAAACTGCTCAGAGCTGTGTAAACTTAGTGACTAAGCAGGGTTGCACAACCTC